AGCAGAGAGCTCCTCCAGGCCTGGAGGGTGGGGGGCATCCCCAAGGAGAGGCTGAGACAGAGAAAAGCATGTCACAGGAGACTGGGGCAGTCAGGGAGGGCGCATGGGGGCAGGGTCAGCAAGCAAGGGCAAGAAACCCTGGGGATTCTGCAAAGGGGGAGACCCTTGACGGGTAGCTTGTGTAAGGGGTGGACCCAGCTGTGACAGGAGCAATGGCCCACCAGGGAAGTGGGGATAAGGGGCATAGGTCCACATGGGGAGGATGCCACCTGCAGGAATAGGGTCACCCTGGCAAGATGTCCTTTCAGGAGTCCATAAGGGAAGCCACAGGTTGGCAGTGTCATCTCAGGCCATCCACCTCCCTCTGGCCTCTCTCTGGACAGAGACTCTGGGGGCAGCTCCTGTCCCTCTCTCTGTGCAGCCCTCACACTGACATTCCAGCTCCTTGTAGGTCAAGGCTCCCTGCACATCCCCAGCCTGAAGGCCCTTCCCCTGTGTCTTCGTCTGGCTGACCAACCCAAGGCCCTGCTCTGCCCACAGTGCCTGCCCTGTTACTGGGTGTGAAGAGTCAGTCTCATTCCCCGTAAGTAAAGTGACAGGGTTAGACCAGGCAGACTCCGGGGCTGTGAGCAGGCTCTTGGACCAGGTGCACACACAGGGACCCTTCTCCTGCTGCCAGGCCCTCCAAGGGCCACACCGCCCTCTTGATCTCTATGATGTGGACTGTCCCTGGCAGATACTGGGCCAGCAGGCGTCCTCGTTTGTAATTTTCAAGTGTCGGGAGAACTAGAAAGGGGGGAGCAGAGCCAGGAGCTCTGCTAAGGTCTCTCTCTAGTAGTGGGAGAGCCTGGCTGACACTGGACCTGGAGCTGGCCCTGGGCTCCTGGCTCGCGGGTGCCTCCTCCTGGTTTTCTATCTCAGTGCCACTCAGAGGGCTGAGGCAGGGCCCCAGGGGACCGAACCTTCCTCCAGGCCCTGCATCTTTGGGGGAGAGGGAGGTGGGGAGGGAGGCTCCCCTGCTTCTGAAATACGTTAACCCCCTACTGACCAAAAGAAAGGGCTTTCAGGGGCCCAGGGGCCTCTCAGGGGCTGGAGCTGCCCTTTTGGAAATTCAGATGTGATGGGGGGATGGGGGAGGTTGGTTCAACAAAGGTTTCCCAGACTCCCTGGGGGCTCTGGCACTGGGCCTTGCAGGGACACACCTCCAAAGCACCCCCCCAACTGCGTTGCCTAGAAACCCCTACAAAGCATCCACCAGGGCCTGCTGGGGGCCCCTGGCCTTTTGTTGTGGCATAGTCAAGGGGTCCAAGGACAAAGGCAGGAGACTGGAGCAGGATCCAGTCTCCATGGCCCTTCTTCTTCCCCTCCCCCTCTGTCCCTGCTTTGAAAACACAAGTGCCTCAATGTGGGACCAGCTAACAGGCAGGAGGGCTGCAGTCTGTCCACCCACTGTGAAATTCCAGTGCGGCTTCACTGAATGGTCCAAGTGCATTTGCCATGAAGAACCAAGGGCCCTGCAGTTCTCTGGGGAGACACTCTCCCTCCGCACTCCAGATCCTGCCTGCAGACCCAACCCCTGTTAGCACCGGCCTCCCCGCAGCCCTGCGCTGGATGGGAACAGGGAAGACGGACATTTCTCCCTTTTTCCAGATGAGAAAGTGAATACGCCTTAGGAACTGAATGCCTCCCTCCCCAGCACGCAGGTCATTTCAGGCCGAGACCCGACCCCTCACAATACAGCCAGGAGCCCTGGGAGGGGGAAACCAGTCCCAGGCCCAGGCAGTCTGGACCAGGGGGAGGTCCATGAAGGCTCACCCGCCTCATCCTCTGCAAAGGAGATGATGTGTGGGTAGTAGTTGTTGATGAGGCCTGGGAATGCGCAGGTCTGGCCACGGCCCATGCAGATCTCACTGTACCGCCACTGGCCGGTCCCTGGGTTTTCTCGGAGGGACATCAGACGCCTAGAGAGGAAGATGAGGTCTGAGGTCATGGCTGGTGGGAACACACCATCTATTCATCAGCTCCTCCACCCATCCAATCATCTATCCATCCACCCATCTGTCCGCCTGTCTGCTCATCCATGCAACCAGGACCATTGTCATTGGCAGGATCCAGTGCAAAAGGCATGCAGGGTCTCTTGTTCAAAAATTATTAAAAATTTCAGGAGAGTGATGAGAGAGCAGTAAGCGAAGTGTGGGCCCTTCTGTGCAGGGCCCTGCAGCCGCACAGGTTGTGTGTCTGTGAAGTGGGCTGGGTGTGATCTTCACTGACCACTTGCCAGAGGGACCCCGGATGAACAAGATCAGCTTGGTTCCTGCCCGTCAGTTCAGTGCGGTCTCTGGCCAGGTGAAGACACAGTATCTCTGAGAGCTGACGTCCACCACAGCTGCCCCAAGGTGTATGCATCCTTTGGCACTGCCTGTACTTCAGACAGCAGGCGGTTGGCCATCTTGGGAACATGCTCATCTTGCGCCGACTCCCTCTTCTGCTTCTCCAGCACCTAGGCATACTTCCAGCCCCTGCTCCGACATTGCCTCCTCTGTGAAGCCCTCCCTGACTGCACCTGCTCTGCGCTCCCAGCACTGGGCACAGGCTCTCTGAGGTTGCAATGTCTCAGACCAAGTGTGGGTGTGTCCCTGGCTTGGATGCAAGATGCTCTTCATCTCAGTTGCCCTGACTCTGGTGTAATGCCTGACCCAGCAGGGGGGCTTGGGAATGTGGACAAAAGAATTGAATGTCTGAGACCAGGAGACTTGGGAGAGAAAGAACTGGTGGCAAAAATAAAAGCTCCATCTAGGAAGCTTTTTCTAGGTGGAAAGTTGGGTGGCCAAGGAAGGGAGTCCCCAAGAACTGGGAGAATGATCCAGTATCCAGAGGCCCAGGGCTGGGTACTTTCTCAGCTCCCGACTGAGCCTAAATCAGCAGCCTTCCAGAGGCAAGAAGTCCCCTGCCAGCCTTGGGCTCTGAATCTCCTCCTCGGGCACCTACTCAGCTGTTCTCCCCAGAATGGGAATTCGGGGCATTGTGTGTCTGTGAGTTTGAACTAACTTCCAAGTGCTGTGTATGTCCCAGTAGATTATGTCCTGAGGACCCCCTGAGATGGTGGGCACTACTGTCAACTGCTTTTTGTAGGTGAGAAAACTGAAGCACAAAGAGGTAAAGTAACTGGCTCAAGGTCAACTCCAGTGAGCAGAAGGATCCGAACCAGGCATCTCAGGTGCACTTTTAAGCCTCAGCATGCCAGGCTGTATGTCATCCTAGTCCTCTCTGACTCTCAGTTTTCCCCTCTGTACAATGGGACAACAAGGTGGTCGTAAGTGTCCGAGCTCCACAGAGGACAGAGTCTGGTTCCCAGCAGGCCTAGGAGGTGTGCTCTCTCCTCTTCTAAAATGCACCTGGATGTGACTCATGCCCTGTCCCCCGCACCCACCCACACACCTATTAAGTCTCAGTGGTAGGAATAGAGGAGGGAGGCTCCATGGGCCACAATGGTCAGGCTTGGACAGCAGACTTAGCTCCCCCTCTCCTCAGCAGGGTCACTTTGGATGGGCCACTGCCCTCTGTGGCTTCAGTTTCCCAGCCTGTGCAAGGGGCTTGGGGACCAATGCTCTCTGCAGGCCTGGATGGGGTGGGCTGGGTAAGGCTGTAGGCGTTCCCATTCTGTGCAGTGACGGGTCCTGTCTTTCCCAAGAGGAAGGTGGCCCTGGGGATAGAGGGCTTGCTGGTGTTCTGTCCCTGACTATCAGAACGACTTGTAGCTCAAAACGCAGGAGTTTCAGGAGAGAGGGAAAGACCAGGTCCTGGCCCTTAAGCCCATGGTCTGCCGAGCCATGACCTGGGCCTTCTGGCCGGCTCCAGGCCCTGTCAGGAGAGCAGGAGCAGATTTCCTAAGGGGTGACTCTCAACTTGCCCCCTGAGGAAGAGACCTGTTGGCCCACACCCACAGGAGGCTCCTGTCAGTGTGCGTGTGCACCTGTGTACACACACACACACTTCATCACAGTCCAGGGAGCAGAGGCCCTAACCACGAGTACTCAGGGCTGTGGGCCACCTACCCGCTCATGAAATCCCCGAAAATGTAGAGGCCATTCAGGTTGGGGTACTCGCAGCCTCGGTACACATAGCCCCCTGTGACCGACTTGCCCATCTTGTGGGGGTAGGCAAAGATCGGCAGCACGTCATCTGCAGAAGGGGAAAGAGCCTGGGTGAGCATGTGAGCATGTGGCAGCCTGTTCAACTGCCAGGTCTGTCCCCAGCCCCAGGCCTGTGAAAAGGGGACTGGGGACAAAGGTCAG